CAGGCACCCCTCATCCTCCCGGCTCCCACCTGAGCTGCTTTGGGGACAGCAGGAGGAAGGAGAGGAGAAGGGCGAGAAAACCGCTGCCACCGCTGCTGGCTGAGCTGAGATGTGGCACCAAGCCGGTCTCCATGCCTCCCAGTTGCCCGGCCGCGCTCCGCCCTGGCCATCTTCCACACTGCGCTGGAGTCTCCCCCGCATCGCCCAGCCCCACTCCCTCGCCGTCGAAGGCCGCCTCAGCCCTCTGGCGCCCAGCGGGGCCGTGGGGCTGCCGGTCAGGAGCGGCTCCTTCCCAGCTTGCTGGGTCCCAGGCCTTGGAAGCGGCCAGGGGCAGGGAAGAGGGTGAGGTGGCAGCAATGCCCGCATGTGAGTCAGAGGCCAGCTGGCTAGGCCAGCAATGGGGCCCCGAAATCAAAGAAGAAAAGTCGTTTTGGAGCTGTAAGAAAGGATCCCTCTCCCCCACGCTGATTCCCGCCACAAGCAATGCCAGAGTTTGGAAAGGCGCTGCTCCGGGACCCTTGGCTATGGGAGCAGGCCGGCAGCGGCTCTGCTCAGATATGGGGGATGAAAAAAAATGGCCAGAAGGGAAGAGAAATCATTCGAGTCGACCCCACTTTGGATAAGGCTTAGTTTTAATCTGGGTGTTTGTGCTTTCTTACTCCTGCACATGCGCACCTTTGTGTTTTCCCCAGTGGTAGCCAAAAAGGGAGGGGAAGGGGCAACGGGAAACGTCCTTTGATACATCATTTACACTCCCACCTCCCCAATCAGGCTTATTTGGAAATCGGTCCAACGGACCTGGCTTCCTCAATCAGCCACCGGGGGTTAAAATATCTTTCCCCATTGACCGTTATAAAGCACCTTTTCTTTCCTTCCTTCCTTCCTTCCTTCCTTCCTTCCTTCCTTCCTTCCTTCCTTCCTTCTCTCCTTCCTTTCTTCCTTCCTTCCTTCCTTCCTTCTCCCTTCAATCTCCTTCCTTCTCCATCACCTTTCTTTCCCCTTCAATCTCCTTCCTTCTCCATTTCCTTCCTTTCCCCTTCAATTTTCCTTCCTTCCTTCCTTCCTTCCTTCCTCCTTCAATCTCCTTCCTTCTCCATCTCCTTCCTTTCCCATTCAATCTTCCTTCCTTCCTTCCTTCCATCCATCCATCCATCTCCTTCCCTTCCCCTTCAATCTCTCCTTCCTTCCTTCCTTCCTTCCTTCTTCCATCCCTCCCTCCCTCCTTCAATCTCCTTCCTTCTCCATCTCCTTCCTTTCCCCTTCAATCTCTTTCTCCTTCCTTCCTTCCTTTCTTTCCCCTTCAATCTCCTTCTCCATCTCCTTCCTTTCATCTTCAGTCTTCCTTTCTTCCTTCCTTCCTTCCTTCCTTCCTTCCTTCCTTCCTTCCTTCCTTCCTTCCCCCTTCAATCTCCTTCTCCATCTCCTTCCTTTCGCCTTCAGTCTTCCTTCCTTCCTTCCTTCCCCTTCCCTCCCTCCCAACATTTCTGAGCAAGGAAGAGTAAGCTTCTCCAGCGAGCATTGCTATATTGTTTTTGTGACTAATCACTATGCTTTAATTATGTTCAATTCATAGCAATGAAAATACTCCCTGCATATCAGATATTTACATTACGATTCATAACAGTAGCAAAATTACAGTTATGAAGTAGCAACGAAAATAATTTTATGGTGGGGGGGTCACCACAACATGAGGAACTCTATTAAAGGGTTGCGGTATTAGGAAGATTGAGAACCACTGTCCTAGGGAATAAAACTCACTTAACTTTGAGTATGGTGAAGATAAGGAAAAAAATATTGTTTTCCTATTTATTCACAAAAAACAGACCGAGAGAGAGCAAATAGACAAGGAGAAAGCATTAATGCGTATTTTGAGTCTCAGCTTAATTCTTTGTTCTACATATAATAAAGGTGAAAAGAAAACACATTATTATAGTAGTAGAATGGTAGCAATACTTAAAAGTAGAAAATGAGACTTGTATCTTAAATGAGATGTCCATTATAGTGATTATATATTTAATTTAAAGTACTTATAAGATGCTTTGAAAACTGAAGTGTTCAATGAATCTCTCAAGTTATTACTGAGGAAGTGCAAGATATCTAAATATTAATAATGGTGCATACATCTGTATCATAAGAGAATTGGCAAAGCTTCCAATTACAACATTCAGTATCATATAATAGCACAAAATTGTGCTCTGATGATTTTAAGTTTGAGTCCATTGATTACTCAGTACATATTTACTTTCAAGATTGATCTAATCATTCTAATGATTAAATTTGCACATTTTTATTATGTTAGGATTCTTTGCTATTATGAAGTTTAATGATTTTTTAAATACAGAAGTTAACAAGCAATAGCTAGAGAATGCAATTATTTTTTATTTGTTAGCTTGACTGACTTGAGAAAAAATAATGAAATAAGCTTTTGGTGTTACAAACTGTCCTTCAGATATAGTGATTATATACTAAAATATATGCATGGAGTGCTGAGGAATAGACAAATATAAAGAAAAACATTTAAATGTTGACAAGCTCCAAGCTGAGTATTAACTTTTAAGTCTTTGGTATGATTTCAAATTTACTTTTTAATAAGAACCTGGACAAAACTTGCCACTTTTTAATTCAACTTATTGGAAAATATTTTATTAGTGAGAACAGATTCCATAAGACTTTTATTAAAAGCTCTGAATGGACAGTTGATACATGTGGACAATGCACCATTTATTAGCATGGGCAGCTTCCCTTGGGCTTCCCAGAAGTTTCCAGAAGGGAGACAGGTGACAACATATACTATAAGAAAAACATGTATATGTCAGGCTTATATTCTGATAGTACACAAGGTATCTTGTAAATTGTGCTTTCCATATTCATTATCTATTGTTTTAAAAGTACTTTACAAGGCTAATAATCTCTTTACCTGCTATTAATTACTTTTTCTTCATTGAAAAAAAAAACAAATTTAAATATTTTGTAGTCTTGGTTATAAGTTTTTTTTCTTTATTCCTGAAAAATACCTGAAATACTAAAAAAAAGCAGTATATAATAAAGCATAGGTGAGTTACTGAACAATATACATTTAATCTAGTTGTTTTTAAGATCAGATGTATCTATCTGTTCAGTAAAAGGACTGACTTTCATTGGTGACACTGTTGTGTGCAGAATGTCCCAAGTTTAATCTTTTAAGAAAAACCAATTAGATAGCAGCTACTGCTGCTAGGAAGCTTCCCTTAATTGTACTTTAGAACAGGGATCCATGATTTTTACAAATCATGCAAAGTCAAATTTACGAAAAATATCAGGTGCGAAACGTTTTCAGCATATCTTTAAGACTTTCACTATGTTTCTGTCATGAAATACAGTATAATACTAAGACACACTTAAAAGCATTTTTAAAGGGAAAACAATACACATATTGCTATACATGAACATTACATTGCAGGCTGCTCCCTGTACCCTGAAAAATTCTTAATAATACCAAGAATAATATAAGATTTAATTATTGACAACATTGATTTACATTAAACATGCCTGATGCTAGCTTGATGCCAGTGTGTAGTGCTGCATTTTTAAGTCAGCAATTTAATCATGCTGCTTAACATGAGCACTTTGGGATTGTGAGGTGCACAAAGTTCAGTTGGAGGCCAAATTAATGTATCCTACAGTGATCCTAAGTGCATACCACTTTAATATTCTCGCCTTCCTTCCTGTGGACTTTTTTTTAAAGACATCTCTTGAATTCTTCAATCTTATAGACTCTTGACAATTTATGAAGATGACTGGTTTTTGCTTTTTTTTTTGACTGTTTTTATTCATGCCAGCAATTTAGTCTAATGTTCTGAAAGTTGTGGGTGTTAGAGAACAGAACAAATTTCCATATTGACTAATTTGATCTCACATTTTAGAATTAAATGAAAGTATTGGGGGTTTTTTCTCCTCTTTTGACTGTCCTTATATGGCAGATCCTTTGACCCTCCCCATCTCAAGACATGACTATGAAGTGTGGATCAATTTCCATTTTGAATTCATTATATATGGAAATTCTGGTGTCCCAAATAGCTTGCAATATTGAATATTTGGTCACAGAATCTATGCTTTTTAAGTAATTAAATTCTGATCTGGAGGTAGAAGTGTAGCAAGAACTAGGCTTTTCTGTTTATTTGCTTGAAAACCTTGTTAGGTTAGTTTTCAGTCACTCTTTTACCTGAGGTTATATAACCATTCCAACGTATGGATACTTTTGACATTTGAATTGTGTGGCCACTTAACTGAACAAGGACTGCAGTATAGTTTTCTGGTTTTATTTCTTCCCAAAGTGACCTTCTGTCTACAAGGATTAAAAGATTTATTAACTAATGTCATAGAGTGTGCTGAACAGTCTGGTATAAAGAGGGCTCAGGATGCAAAGATACTTTATAACGTTCTCTGATTGCTTGCATGTTGCAGTTAATAGAGAGATGTTTTGATACAGCAGACTGTACTTTTTTAAAAAACAACATACCAGTTTGCTTAAAAAAAACACTTTTCACGAAGAGATACAGTATAATTGGTCAAGAACATTGAAAATAACAATTTAGGTTCAGGATAAACTATTTTTCATTTGAAATTTTTATAGAGTGTATTGTGGGAATAATCACAAAAATGTTGCTTTCAAAGTATTTCTGACTTTAAAAAAGAATATTCACAGATTAACTGAATTTATATCAATTACAAAAACCAGATAGGGTCTTCCGATTATTATCCTAAAACTTTAAGGCTACCATGGGAAGGAGGGTCTATCCTAATGTGGCCAGTCATTTGTCAGATAGAAAGGTGATGCCATTCCCTACATTTCCTGCTCAGCAGGTTCCATTTTCTCTCATGTTTTGTTTTTTCTTTTTTTTTCTGAATAAGTTCTTGCATTTCCAAACTATTCAGTGGCTAGCTGGCTGGCTGGCTTGTTTGTTTGTTTGTTTGTTTACCCTTCCATTTCAAACACAGGCTAACAATTTAAAAAAGTAACCAGAATTATAAATAAATTAACAGCGCAAAACACTAACACAATTCCCCTAGTCGACACAATGGGAGTTGGGATTTCCCATTGTATCGGGGCCCTAGATCCATTGGCAAAAGTAGATCTTTAAGGGTTGAAAACATTTACCTTTTTTTTCTGAGAAGGCTTATCGCGTTTATGTAGTATTTCTAAGAATAATGACAATGCTGGTATGTTGATATGCAAAATCTCTGTTTCACTTAATTTTTTAAAAAAATAGAAATAATATCTAAAAAGTGAAGAAAGGAGCTTGCCGATCTGTCAGCTTTTCAGAAGAAGACAGCTCAGGAAACAGGCACTGCAAGGAGAACTGGAACTTTATTTTATTGTTGCAGGGTAGAATAACAGAATCTTGAATGACTGCCAATGTTTACAACTTACATATGAGTTCTGATGCTCCCTCCTTTCCCATGGCTGAGATGTCATTTCCTGCTCTTTTATCTGCTAGCAATTCTCACATAATTTTGTCAACTTTATCTCTGCTTCCCTCTGTATTACTTTTTCCCTCCAAACCAGTCTCTCTTCTTCAACCTTAATAGAAACAGGCAATTACAAATGAAAAGCCATCTGGTTAATTTGCAGGATAATTTGGAAGGGTCAATAAACGTTGAGACCAGCTTTGTAGGTAGGTGGATAAAAAGTAAAAACTTAGTGAAAAGCCACATCAAATCTCCCACTTCAGTCTTGACACTGTCTTGCACATGTGTTTCTGTAGTACCTTTCTATGTAGCTTTTACCAAAACTAAATGTCCATTGAAGAAGAGTTGAGCCATCTGTCTCTCCTGCAGAAAATCCAAGATATGAGGGACAATGGATGCCAGAGTTCTAGAGGGCAGGATGTGGGGTTGGTAGCCATAGATGACCTGAAGGAAAGACATGCCTGTGGAGAAACATATTGTGTTATTATATCCAAGCTTTACAAAGGGTAACAGTTCAATCCAATTGTCCTACTGATAAGAGACATAGCTTCTCAAGTACTGTTCTAATTGATTCATTCTCTCCAAATATCCATTAGAAACCAGGTGATGTAATGATAGCAACTGAACCTAAATGTCTGATAGCTGGAAGAGGACCTTTTAAAGAATGGATCTAAATTTGAGAACCATGATCCGAGAAGACTTGATCGACTAAACCTCTGTACCTAAAAATGTGGTCTAGAAAAAGTTGTGCAGGCTCCTGAACTAATGAAAGGCATTTGTGAGAAATATCTTGCCAAAAGCTTTTTTTGTTAATATAAAATGCAAATAGAAATAAAGACAATGGAAGAAAGGGGAAGGAAAGGGGACAGAGGAGATAGAGTGAGGGGAAGAAGGAAAAATAAATAAGAAACAAAAAGCATGACTTCTAATTTTTTGATGCAATAAGATACATAATAAGGCTACAGTATCAGCTTTTTAATTATACAACACTAGTCATTTCTATACAAGTAACCCATTTGACTGTCAAAACCCAAAGTCAAAATTTCACTTTTTTTCCTCTTTCATGCTTGAAAGTCCAAAAGTGATTTTCAAGTACCGGTAGCCACAAAACTCTTTACATTCTTGTCCCTGTTAGTGCAGTCAATTTTGCCATCTTCACCAGTGCCATCATTTTTTTTTCAATCTAGTCCTCAATTGTGGGAATTAACACTTATTTCCATTTCTGGGCACATAGAATTCTTGTAGCTGTCAAGCAATAAAGTTCCATTCCCCTCCCCCGCCGCCAATTTCTTTCTCTAATAGTCCTGGAAGAAAAGTTTCCAGTTTCCATTTTAAGTCCAGTTTTAACATTTTCTGGATTTGGTTTACAAATCTACTGTCACAAAAATTCATTGTTTGTTACTGCACAACTACTGTATGCACAAAAATGGAAAGACTCTAAAATATCTATAGGGGAGGAATGCTAGGTGAAAATAGAGTTGGCAGAAATGGCAAAAATTGACTTGTGTGACTAGGGAAAGATCAACAACTACAGTAATTGTTGTTGAAAAGAAGCTTTTTCTTTATAATCTTTTTTATTCTTTTTCTGTTTTCTTTCTTACTCACCGTTCTTTCTTTCTTTGTTCCTTTTCTAATATCTGTATTGTTTTTATCTTGTTAAAAATTTCTTCAATAAAAATTATATTTAAAAAAGTAAAAAAAAAAAAATCCATTGAAAGAGAATCCCAAAGTTCGAGCAAGGAAGTGAAGAACTGGGATAGCTTTGCTTGGTAAAAGATATGTCAGGAAGAAACAGTGGTATTTGTTTTCATCCTCAATAACAAATTTTTCTGAGAACCTGATACCAAGTTTTAAAAATGTCCCTATGTCCAGATTGATTATCATAGCAAAATTACAATATCTCTTCCCTTATAAAAGAAGATGAACATATAAATGACTGTTGTGGAGCAATTGTCATCATAGACAAAGGAGGATTCGTTCATGGAGTTCACTGAAAGTTAAGCATCTGAATATGAAACCTGAACCTGAATATGAAAGTTGTAATCCAATCTAACAGTACTACTACATCATCCTGTCCTCAACCTTTCTGAAGGGTCCTTGCCATAAGGAGGGTGGGGAGGAGTGTCCTTGGCTTCAGGATTGTGGACATGAAGCGTGAGCATAGAAGATCGTATTCAGAATTACAAGTTTGTTTATTTGTAGCTTGTTATGTAAGATGGAACATTAGTAATATTGAAATTGAAATGGGAGAAACAGGTCCAATTGATTTGATGAAGGATTGTGATTTCTGCAGCTATTCCAAATTCTTGTGATCTGTGCACAGGATCGGTTCTCCCTCCAAGAAATGCTTCCATTAATGGAATGAGCTTTTTATCTCAAACAACTCATTATTGAAAATGTCAGAGTTCCTTTATCTGGGAAAAGCAATCTGGAATAAAATATACATGGCATAATTCCTGTCTGCCTTTGATGCTTTGAGAAGAGTGACTCTTAATGTTTCATCTGATGGGTTTTTTTTTTTTTGCTCAACAAAAGGATGAAAAGGATCACAAAAAAGGATTTTAAAGTCTTGAAATGCTTCTTCTTCTTGAGTAGTTCATCTGAAATTATGTCCTTACTTTAGTAGTTGAGCAAGTGATCTTATGTGTTCTGCAAAATTAGAACTGAACTTTCTCTTAAAAAAAATTGCAAAGCTCAGAAAACGTTGGTTATCTTTTTACATTCTACATGCCTGCCACAATAGTGCAGATTGTAATTTTGTAGAATTTATCTGCATAGCTTTGGTAGAGATCTAGTAGCACAAATAGTTCAATTGAAAAAAAACCAGATGCATTTTTTTCATCTTATCAAAAAGCTTAAGAGAGGCTTTCTAAGAATTCTTGGACATGGGTCTTGTGCAAAGATGGTTCTTCTGGAAAAAAAACCCATGTGAGCCAACTGCTATATATATGTCCAAAACATCAGAAAATATTTTGTTCATTAATCTGGAGACTATCATGTTATAACTAATCCAAAAGTTATCGCTGTATATTCAAATTTTCATACCTGGTGTCAAAGGCATTAAATATTCAATGTGATCAAATTCCAAATACTTTTTAAATCCAATTTCATGAAAATGTGCGCCTTTTGGTTCAATGGGTACAAATAAGTAAGTATGGCTAGTGATCCATAATGGTTACACTGATCAAGAAGAATCCATAATCATGCCGTTCTAAAAAAATTATTTCCTTTGGGGCAAAAAATGTAGGTACAGATATTGGAAGTTTATAAGGGCAACCCCCCCTTTTGTTCAGATTATCATCCAGAAACTCATTTGATGTGGTTAATTTTTGAATAGACATGGGTTATTGCCTTATTGCTGGAATCTAGGGTCCCAGTTTCAAGTTGAATGTATTATGACCAATGAGGGGACCATGTTTATCCATAGCAAACTCTGCATATATTTCTTGCAAAGGGATTCAAAGTGCTGAGAGAGAGAGAGAGAGAGAGAGAGAGAGAGAGAGAGAGAGAGTTAGTTTTCAGTGCATTGCAAAATAGGACCAGCTTGAAGCATTTTCCTGTCAATCATTTCCACATGCATAGCTTTTTCTAATAATTGTACGGGCAATTTAAACCAGCAAACTCCCACCTTTTGGGCACCAGGGATTGGTTCCTTGGAGAGAGGGTTAATTAAAAAAAATAGGGATAATAAGAACAACTTTGGAAGTTTTTCTTCATTGGGCGGGGAGCCTGTGAAGTTTCCTGAGGATGACGCTTTGGAACAATTTAGGCACTTGTTTGCTACAAGGCCTGAAGTTTCTGGGATGTTAGTCTTCACTAGTGCAAGTCTCAACTAGATAACTCTTTCTAGTTTTCTGGTGCAATTTGTCTCATTAACTCATATCTTAGTTCAAGTCCTTCATGAAACTCATCAGTTAGAGCAACATCATTCCACCCTAATCACTGGCTCTATCGTAATCCAAAATTCTGTTATGTATTCTCAAATTTGCCTTGTTTCAGTTTGAATCTCTCAGTTTGCTATTACGTACTGTTCTAGCTGACTTGTAAAATATAACTCTAAATCTTCGTATGAAATTCTGATTATTATCCAACAATGGATCATTACCCTGAATGAAAGGAACAGCCCATTTGGCTTCTTTTCCTTTAGCAGAACAAAAGTTACCCTGGAGCGATTTGTAGAAAATTTTGCTGGCCAACCCACCATGCAGAATTCACACTGAGTCATGAAAGTCAGAAATTAATCCTGGGTTCCTCCAAACCTCTCTGGCAAACTACCATGAGAGCAGAAAAAATAATAATAATTGGCTAGGCTACAGGCTGCTGAGATGCTCCTGACTGAGACAAGTCTTGTCCCAAATCTGCATTTGTACCTTGATGTTGCATGGGTTTTTATTCAATTGCTCTTGCTGCTGTAACGATGCTTCAGTAAGTTGTTCTGCAGACAGTGCAGTGTCCTGAGGTTCTACAATCAGAGGCAAGTGCTTCTGATTAGAAAGTAAGGAGGCTTCCGAGATTGATGTTAGCCCTTCAAGGTAGATAAGGTCAGGAAACAAACACGGCAGGGTATACTGGAACTCTCTTGTTACAGAATAATGATGGTGATGCTGTGTGTTCAGTAGTATCTGAGTCTCAACAATGAACAGTTCTGTGCACAGTGTCCCACCTGGTACAGCTTCTTTCAGTCGTTTCATGTTCTGGCTGGTGTCAGCTTTGATGATTTCTAACCATTATATTTTGGCGTGGTTTATTTCTTTTTACTGCTAACCATTTTGCTCATAAGTGTTTGATTGCATGGCATGGTCAAAATAAGTAAGGTGGAATTTTGTGGTTTTTGCCTTCCAAAGATATGTCAGGTTTTATATACTGCAGTACTTGCTTGTTTGTCACCTTTTCTTCTTAGGATGTCTTCTCCAACATCACAGTTCAAATGAGTCCATGTTCCTCTTGTCTAGTTTTCTCATGGTCCAGCTTTCACAACTGTAGGTAATATGGGAAACGTGATAATGGGGACTAATCTCCATTGCCAAGCTGATGTCCTTGCTTTCCTATAATCAATTCATGCTCATAATTGCTGTGAGACCCAGTGCAGTTCAACACTTTTTCTGGACTGTATTCACTGCTTTGATTAATCTGTGATCCTAGGAAAGTGAATTGTTGTACACATTTGATCTCTTCACTATCAATTGTTATTTCACTCAGCAGCGAGACACTGGTGAAGCAGGCACAGCAGCGCCTGCATTTTCTGCATTGCATGAGAAAAGCACACCTTCCTTCCCCTGTCCTTACCACTTTCTACAGAGGGACGATCGAGAGCATCTTGTCATACAGCATTACAGTCTGGCTTGGAAGCAACAATGCTTCAGACAGGAAGGAGGTGCAGAGAGTGGTGAGGATGGCTGAAAAGTTATTGGCAGTTTCCTCCCTTCCATCCAGGACATAGCAAATAAGTGTTGCTTGAGCA